TGACCAAGCGTTTTCCCGCCTAAGCTGGCAGGCAGATGTGTTTGACATGAAAGCAAGCTGCCCTTAGATTGGGATGTACGGATACCCCCAAATTAGGGCCAGTTCCGTTCAACTGCGTAGGTCGTGCTGAATCTTACTTCAATGTGGGCTTGTGACCAGCTTTTGATGTGTCTTCAGTGCCTAAGAAGTTGAGGGTGAGGATGGTGTGACAGAGCGGGCTTGTGTCTGAAGTCCTAGTGAGGGGCACGTGCCTTCTCCCTGGGCATCCGCCTGCCCTTTCACTTCTCCTGGCCACATCTCATCTGTAGCTGAGAACTTGAGTGTGTGGGAGGGAGCTGGGATTTCTTGAAGAAATTGACACTGAGCCCTAAGGGTGGAAAATATCACCAGTTGGGACCTGTGATCTGAACGCACTTTAGGGGTGTTTTGGGTTTCACATTTTCAACTGACTTCTAGAAGTACACGTCTGCTTCCAATTTTCATCAGTTTTTTGTTTGTTTGTTTGTTTGAAAAAGGCAATCCAAAAGGAGATATAATGTAAATCTGTTGAAGAGAATGGTGTATTTCATAACCAATCATAAATTGACTTACATATTTTCTGTTTACAATTTTATAGATTGTCCTTCCATTGATTAAATGCCTGTCTCTGGCACCACTAAGACGAGCACAAACAGACGTTTCCCCGGCTTATAAGAAGCTAACCATCCGAGTATCAGTCCTTCAGTTATCATGAATCATCAGAGTTGACTGTATGTGAACCCATAGCCTCAACACTTCACACTCACTCCTTTACCTTGTCTCAATATCTGATGGCACTAAAGTTCAGCATCTCGTGTGTAAAATGGAATGGGTCTGGTTAATCTTTACAGCACCTAGAAAACATTCAGCTGGCCTCTCCATGGGCACCTGTGTGGCCTGGGAGACGCTGGTTAACCTTTCTGAGTTTCAAACACTGCCTAAATAAAATGAAATCATGCTCCATTTTCCAGGGGTTGGGTTTTGTGTGTGTGTGTGTTTTTTAACAGCATGAAAATTAAAGTCTAGCCTGGCCTCATAGCAGTGTAGAATAGGAGTATTTATTCTTGTATTGTTGTTGTTTTTCTGTGCATCTGTAAATACTGCTTTTGATTCAGAGATTCCAGAATGTGTTTTCTTAGATTGACCCAAATCCCCTGATTCAGACTTGCTGGGATTTATAGTAGGCAACACAATTCTGCTTCTAAAGCGTCACCCTGTAGCATTTTTCTTCTTTTATAGACCATATGCAAGGGCAGGGACGGAAAGAGGCCAGTGCGTTCACTTTTGCCTTTAAAGCAGGACATGCCTAGGATGCATTGCCTTGTGCCTAACAAGTTGTCACCAAAGAGTCAGCTGCTCCGCGTGGACCTGATCCCAAATTCTGAGGTCACGCTGCTGTGGTTTCAGGCCAAACCCATGACAGTCTACATGGATCTTCAGGTTCCTCTAGCTTTTTCCGTCCACGTTAGAAAAACGGCAAAGATCTTTCTGGGAACGAAATGGTAATAGATGATAATAAGGAAGCTCCAGGACATTAGTACATATTTCCTTTCAGAGCCAGGGACACGTGGCGGTGAAGCCTCTGAAACATCAACCAGACGCTGGAAACGCGCCTGATTTGGTTTCATTAAAAATACCAGAGAATCATTAGACCATGAGGGGAATTCTGTTTTCCATTCCCCGGGGACTGTGATTAGGAAGTGACTTTCCAGTTCATTCTTTTTTTCCACTTCCTGTTTCCCCTCCCCCCTCCCCCTTTGAGAAAACCATTTGCTAAATGATAACAGCAGATGGAATGGGGGTACCCACACCCCCTGGGCTTCTCGGCCGACCCACGAATACTGCCAGGTTTTCATTTCCATCCACCAGATCTAAGCTCTTCTGTAGGCCTGGGTGGGAGCTCTCTTCTTCTCTCCGTCTAGACAGCCAAAATGACAGAACTTTAAGATCTTTTCTTTGCATTGTTCATCTTAAAAGAGAGAGAGTGAGAAAGAAATTAGAAAGCAAAGATGTCTGTGTAGTAATAGTTACTTTAATTGTTCGTGCCCTTAACAGATAGACACGGTGAAACACTGTCACAAGTAGGAAGGACGCTTAAGGTTTTCATCGGACCAGGAAGTGTACACAATTAACTTGAAATATAAATGTAAGCCAGCATTTTAGTTAAGCTGCTTATTAAAATAATTAGGGCAGTGAAGCGAGGAGCGTGTAAGCCAGGGAAATTGTGAGGTTTGATTAAAACGCTCCCTGCATGTATAGGATTGAGTGGAAAGGAATTGTAAAGTCATGGGTTTGTTAAATAAAAACTTCTACATGGAAAGCCAAAAGGTACCAGAAAGGGGCTGAAGAACATAGATATTTAGAGATTTGTAGTAATAGAAACCCTGACCCAGAAGGGATGTTTGTAAAACCATTTCTAAACTGGCCACCGCCAAGCTCCCCTGTAAAATGTGCTTTTTCCCATGAGTTCTACTTTTTGAAAGATTCTCTTTACAATGTGCACTTATGAAGTAGTGCTTAGATTGATTTCCCACTGAGTAAAAACAGGATCGTCCAATTAGAGTATTGGATTAGCACAAAATAACCAGTGTGACCTCTTTCAGGGAATATAATTGAAAGCAAAACTCGTGCGTGGAGGCCCACTGCCTCCTTTGAGGGTGACTGGTTGGGAACCACTGTTTACTCCAACCCCTTTATTGTAGGGCGGGTTTAATGACTCGGTTTAGTACACAGTGAAAGCTACAACACAGGTCACTCCTTTCTAGTGCAGAGCTCTCTGCTAAACCACACTGCCACTTTATAAAGGGGTGAGGCTGAGCAGTTTTGAGTGCTGTTAATTCCAAGATTTGGGAAGTACAACCAGATTTGAAAGACTGTAGAGGTAGCACTTTTATAACCCATTTTCTTCCCTGGCTTTCTCCATAAACTTTCTTAACATCACATTGGTCATTTTTCAATTTGTCTCGTGTGCCATGCTTTTACATAAGGGCCCTAATCTCTCCTTAGCTGATCCATTGTTAAGAGCTCGTGAGTCATGGAATCTTTCTTATTTGAGCTCTTGAGTGTGCCACCCCGAAACCTTATCCTTTTGATGATTTAAACAGATAAGACCTAGAAATGCTCCAAAGACTCCTCTCGCAAATAAATAATTGTGCTGAGATTGCTTCTTTCTGATTAGAGCTACATTTGGAATCCAGCTCTTTACTCCTTGTATCTCAATGCAAGCTGGCCAGTGATTCAGATGTGCTGTTAGGGACTTAACAAGTGTTTGAACATTATTTGAGTCTACACTAAGTATGTGCAGGGCTGTAGCCTTTTAGCACTGTATGCTGACTGGAGTTGGCATCGGAAAAGTGATAGCATTTAAAAAATCAGTGCGACCCAGAATTAGAATCGGTGACAGCCACTTAGGAAGTCTCATGCACCCCTCAATGGGGTTAGCTCTATTGTAAGCGAAGAAGCCATGGTGAATGACCATTCCATTACATCTAGCAACATTGTTTTTTTCGACCATCTGAGCATGCAGTGAATGCATGGAAGGTTTACCGTTGCTTATCAGAGATCTCTGAAAAGTGTGGGCTCACCGAATGCCACTCAAGCCCCTCGGGTCATTCAAATTATATTTAGGGCACAGGACGTGTAACTGCCTGCCATTCTGAGCTCCTTGCTGCCCGGCAGCCCCTATCCTGAGGTTGCTTTGGGGGGATGTTTGCGAGATCTAGCAGGTGTCTCTCAGCCCATCAATTAGGAGAAGAGCAGAGGCAGATGTGATATATCACATGGCCCTAAGATGGATGGCTCCGGAAAAATCTCATATTGGCAAGAGTGATTTGAGTTGCCAGGAATCCGCAGTCTGCCACGTGACATCCCCAAAAGTCTGACAGGGTTTGACTGGTTTACTCTGCTAAACGAAACTGCTGAGATGACTGTGGCGAGGTGATGAATAAACTGCATAAATCTTAACTAGGGGAAGAAAGAAGATGAATTGATGCACGCACATATTGGAAATGTAATGAAACCCAATTAAAGCGACCAGGGGTTGCTAACACATTACAGAGAAACAATACCCTGTTTTGTGTTCCTCACTGGTATTTTTCTGTTGGTCTCATTTCAGAAAATGACCAGGAGAACATGTTTGGTTTTATTTTTTTATTTCTCTAGCATAAGAGGCCTGACCTGGCAACAGAGCAGGGAAGTGATCATGACATAGTGCATGAGTGCCCCTAGTATCTTTTATTATTTATTTCCCATGTTAATGGAGCTCAAAAAAAAATTGGTTCAGCTTCCCTCAAAGCAGCTAGTGAATGCTGTTAGTAATCATATATGAGGTTTTGCTGGTTTTCAAAGTAATTAGAACCCCAGAGCAAGTAAACACTATATGGGCTTTCATCTTTGAAGCTATTTTTTCAAACTAAATAGCTCTGCTCTGCTATAATTACATACTAGTCATTATGAAATTAAAAATCATTTTAAGTAAATGGGTGCTTTTTTAAGAAGCATTTGTTTCTTGCTAATTATTATGAACTAATTGTAGTTTATGATGGTCTTCAAGAAATCAGAAAGCACTGCCTTAGAGCCATACTCCCCAGTGGCTGAAAGTTTCCATTCCAGAAAGGGGGTGGGGGATGATGGGAAGGAGGATTCAACACAGTCAAAGTCTGAATTTTTAGGACTTTGAAAAGCTCAACTGGATGAAGGTCATCACAGGCACCTGTGCAGGGTGATGGCGTCAAACAGCTGTGTTGCCCCAGGGACCTGAATCTCATTCCAGCATCACTGGAAGCTTAATGTGACCTGCGGTGTGTTAGTTAATGTCTCTAAGCCTCAATTTTTGCATTTGCAAAATGGGGACAATAATACCTACCTTACAGCATTGCCTGGGGGATTAAAGACAAGGTTTATAAAATGTTTCACACAGAAGCTGGCATCATAGTTATTAGTATCGTTGCATATCATCATTCCCATTGTTATTTTTGTGATAGGAGCATCTACAGCTTCTCAGAGGCCCAAGCTTAGTCTTCGGAACAGTCAGTCCATGGTGTCTGTGACAACGTCGTTTTCGATGGCAGGCTTGTGTCTACCAAGAACACGGGATTGAAGTGAAAGAGTCCAGAAAAGCAGAAGTTTTCTTTATTATTTTCCAAAGCCAGGTTAAGTGTGGGTAGAAAGTGTGACTGGACAGACCATATATTTACTAGGGGCTTTCCCATGAACCAGCAAGTTCTTAAAAGCCCACCCATTCATAATTTCATGCAAGTCCACACTTTGCCAATTTCTCCCCAGGACAAGAAGGAAAACAAACTAGGGATAAACAACAATAACAGAAAACCTGACATCAAACAATAAGAAAAACCCCTATAGGCGTGCCTCTCAAGTGACCCCTTCCCCCTAATCCTCTCTTTCTTTATTCTTTATTACAAATTAATATCGTGAGTCATACAAGTTAGTAAAAACTGGGCGTTAGGTGCTTCTGTCAGGAGGGAGAGATGATGAATGCCATGTTCAGGTTTTCCCTCTAACTCCCAGACTATCCCAACTATTTTCATTAATAACCTGCTTCCTTTTATTGTCCTTAGCTCTTGGCTCTGACTTCTTGTTTTTCATTGTGTTGTTGATTTGAAGAACATTCTTTCTGAGATTCTTGGTTCCAGGTACTAAGTTTGTTGATAGCTTCTTATATTCCAGGCATAGGATGCTTCCCCATATGTTATCTTAATTGATCCTTAAAACAATTCACTACACAGCTGAGAAAAAAAAATTGTAGCATCATAGAGATAGTAGGTGCTGGAGTGATGGCTTGAGTGAGCTCTTTCAGGTATATTAGACCAGACTTGCCAGAAGCTGGTCCATCCTTGCTGCTTGACACAGTCGCTGCAGGAAAGAAACATCTGCACAGCATATGTTTCAAGGGACCTGGCATATATAGCATATTGTTCTTAATATGTTTGCTCTCCTTAGTGCCATGTGTTTTAACCAAGGTCACCTCTCCGAGAAAGGTTGTTTCCCCAGGTGGGGATTTTTCCCTGAGGTTAGGGAGGAGATACAACCCCTTAATTAAGTGCCAGGCGGGTAGTTAAGCTACATAATCTTTACTCCCTGGAATGGAGATAAGAAACGTCCTAACCTTTGTAATAGAAATTGACAGGATTAAAATCGGCTGGTATTAATACGGATGTAACAAGACAATAAACATCAGATCCTGATCAGTTCCTAACCAGAACTCCGACCAGAACTTTGGCTGGAGATCCTGGCTAGAGGTCCTGACTAGGCTGCTGATCAACTGAAGGCTGTCTTCGTGTCATTCCTTCTTTGCCGACTCCGTCCACACCTTTGGGGACCCCTGGACCTGCTGGGGTTGGATTCCAGCACAGACTATCTTCCTAGCTATGTTCAACGTGCTGGGCACAGACTGATGATTTCTGATGGAATACCCACCAAAGAAACCAAGTTTTGCTTCTAAATGTAGATGCTATGGTAGGTACTTAGATGGTGGATTCCTAAACTGACTTCTCTATACCTTCCTTGCCATTCTCACAGCTCTACCCAGTTCTTCCAGTGCAGAGGTGTTAATCTAGAGCTGCAAATCCAGCTGATTCTCAGAGATCCATCCCTCCTCCTTGGATCCATCCCGTTCATACTCACAACTTCCTGGTCCCACCAGCCTAGCTTCCCAGTTCAAAAGAACAGGAGAACCCTGCCAGCTTATGACACATTGCCTTAGGGGTAAAGGAAGAAAATGTTCTCATCTTCTTAGGGGAAGGGAGTGGTCGTGTTAGCCTTTATTATGTTCCTTAAAGATGCTGGGAAGAAAACAAAGGTTGGATGGGTTTCAGAAGGAAGGAAGAGGGATTGATGAGAAACAGGAAACAAACCACATTCAGAAATGAATAGGCCCCCAAATGACAAGAAAATGAACAGCATCTCAGAAAAAGAAATCCAACACGGCTTTCTAACATAGGCTTAACCCCAGCCACCAAACTCAGGCACCACAGTGATACCACCAGCCATGCCATGTCTTTCTCCAAGTCTCCAACAAGGGTTTTCTCAGAGTTAGCTACCAGTTATTGTCCATGTACCCTGTGCCAGATACCAGACCATCTCTGCAGTAACTCTGTGACATTGGTAAATTCTCATTCCCAGCTTATCGACAAGAAAGCCAGACTGAACAAATTAAAGAAATTGCCTATTGTCACATAGAAACAGGCTGATCTGGTGTTGAAACTAAGCCTTGTTGTCTCCAAAACCTGTGCCATTTCCACTATGCCCATCCTCGGTAGTGGGACAGGTTTTCAAGTGTGCCATTCAAATTAGTAGGTCCCCTTTTGAGGGATGGTGATGGAATAGGGAAAAGGTTTACAGGGAAGTCCGTTGATGCCACAGTGACCTGAGAGAATATGAGTTACTTATTTTTTAATGCCAACATTCATCATAGTTTATTAAATACAACAAACCTTCAAGCTGCTAGATGGGTTGTTGGTCTTTTTCTGCTTGCCCACTCCTTTAAAAAAAATGCCTATATCCTCCCCAGGTTGCAAGATTGCTATATCGTGGGGCTCGCAGATATCTGATGGAAAGGTGATGCAAGACTCGTGAGTGCCCATTGTGCAGTTTGGGCAAAATGGATTTACAAACTGCTCAGATTTGGGAGATCCAGTCCCGAAGTACATTCCTACAACTGATATTCCAAGCTCTTTCTTTGACCTTCCTAAACAAACATAGCTAGGAGCAGAGAAATGGAGTCAGATATCAAAAGGCACCTGCCTGAATATAATAGAGTATGGTGCCCATCCACACACTTCTGCACCCACATGGGAATTAGGAGGAACTTTGGCCAGGTCATTTATCCACCTGTGATCATGTCCTTTTCAGCAACAGATGAATTGTTATGCAGTACTTCTCCAAGATTCTCCAAAGCCTATTTTCTAGAAGACAATGATGCTGAGTATATATGTGTCCCCTCTGGCAATTTCAGGAGAATTTAATGAATTTTACACCATCATTTCCCTTAGATAGAAAACATAAGAGGGGCCATTTCACACTCCTTAGGGATAAAGATCAGGCAACCAGAGTAATTCCTCAATCTAATTGTGCAGATGTTCAAAACAGGATATGCTGACTCTTGTCCAGTTCAGTGTGAAAATGTATAGAATGCTATTGCTTGAAGGGAAGATACGAGGTCATCATAGCCAATTCTACCTCAAGCCAGGTACACACCCCAACTGTAAAAGACAGAGATCGGCTTATTCTTTCATCTGTTTTCAAGAAGTGCAAGAAACCTGGGGCTTCCTTCATTTTCTCATCCAGGGGAGCAAAAAGTAACCATCCGAGTTGCCCATAATGAATCCAAAGGACTGTATTTGGGGAGGCTTTCTTTAATGAGCTTGGTGGAGGGATGATTTGGCAGTATTTTAAAGTCACCTTTAGTTTACCCATTTTATTGGCACAAAAGTATGACTCAGAGTCACCTTTGTTCTTTGAAAATGAGCTCACACACCTTCCAGAATATGATACATTTCACTTTTGGGTGCCAGCAGGCATCCACAGACCAGAAACCATTGGTTAGAACTTATGAATGGAAACATACCGTAATAGGGGAAGTTTCTGAACAAAAATGGACAGATAATGAACCCTACTCTCTAACCCCTTTTCCATATTCATATTCATATTCATATTCCATATTCATTTCCTCTGTCCACACATCTGCTCTTTGGCATCTGTTTTCCTCCATCTCTCCCAGTTCTAGCCATTTGAACAAGACCCAGTGGCAACCCTTCCTCTTTAGAGAAGGTCATCACTGGGGTTGAAGATGTACCTACCTCCCTTCCCAAGAGTTTAGTGCTTGGTCATTTTTACTCTTGTCTTTTCCTTTGTCTCACAAATCAGTTCAGGTATGGTCCATGGGCTGCATCTCACGTGCTGTTTCAGGTTGGGTATGGCTGGTCAGAGGACAATCACAAGGCCGCTTACAGAGTCTACGAGAAGGATGCTGTGATGGATTAGCAGCCTCTTTCATAGGTTTAGCAGCAAGAAATAGACCACTTGGGCTATGTGTTCACTGTTCAAAACTACCCCTTAAGTACCTAGAGAATAAGAATCTCTCACTTAGGATTTTATATCCCTTGCATGCCTGGTGTGGTTGTGACCTCCTAGCAAGAGCTCAAACCATATTTGTTGATTGATGTCCCAAAAGGTGCCATTAACACATCAGGAGGAAGATCTAAAGGTGTCTGGAAAGCAGTATCTTGTTTTTACGCAGAGACAACATTCTCTCAAGGTGAAGTGCCAGAGAAGGAGCGCTTGTGCTTTTCTCCATGAGCCCCCGCCAGACATCAAGATAAAGTGAAATTCCACACGCAACCACACTCAGAACTAGGTTTTATTTGTGATATATTTAGGCTCATTGAATTTTTATTGTTCATGTATTTTATCCATGAGAGCAGTTGACCAGCTCCTACCTGATGCTTAATTTAGGCTTAAATGATATGCTTAAAGGGGAAAAAAGAAAAAATATATATCTGGCTACTATAAAAATAAAAATAAAAGGTTGCAGGGAACCACAGCTAATGAAAACAGTCTGCATGCTAAAAATAGTCATATTGGCTTTGAAAACTTGCACCTCGTCCCTGAATTTCCAGTCTGGATGGTGTTGACTGAAGCATCCAAATGCCAATTCCTGTCCTTTCAGCCAATTCCAATAATGTTTGAATTGTATTATTTCAAATACTATTATTCTTTATGTCATAAAGAATAAAAAGCTCCCCTATAGTTACAGCATTTACTTACTTCCAGGGTTCATTTGAATTTCAACTTTAAATTTCTGCAAGCTTAGAGTAACATGCTGTATGTTTGTAAAGCAAGAGAAATGAATGGCAGGAGACTGACAGGTTGGGTTTACACAGAAGTTCTTTGGACCACGGAAGGAAAAGGCAGCTGCTAGAGACCAGCTTTCCACCTGCTCAGCAGGCAACCTTCACACTGGCCTATAGAGGAGAGATCAGAGGAAGAAAGTCTTTACCTTCCTTAGACCTCATGTCCTGAGGAAGATGGGAAGAACAAGAGAGAAGCCCGGAGTTCAAGCCCTCCCAGATGTTGACCTTGAGATGTGAGGTAGCCACTCCAGACCTTGATTTCTTCTCTGGAAAAAGGAAATAATCATTTTTACTTAGACCATATGGTCACAAAGAAGTGAAAGGACCCAATAAACTGTAACCAAGACAAATTAGGCTATTACCATCTACTGTCACTCAGCTCCAATGGCTCACTCCTTTCTCCAAGTAACTTGCGTGAAAACTGACATCATGAATGGCTTTCTTCAGTTGTATTGACCTCACTTCTGCCAAAAGCTCCTGAAGGATACAACTCCTGTGTGTAGCAGTGGCTTTCTCTACCTAGATGGTGGGAGAGGAGACACACAGTTGACCCTGAACAACGGGGTTTTGAGCCTCATGGGTCCGCTTTATACATGGATGTTTTCAATAAATATTGTAAATGTATTTTTTATTATCTTAATAATATTTTCTTTTCTTTAGCTTTATTATGAGAATATATCATAATACAACATACAAAGTATGTGTTAACTGACAGTTTTGGTTATTGGTAAAGCTTCTGATCAACAATAAGCTATTAGTAGTTAAGTTTGGGGGGAGTCAAGGGTTATATGCAGATTTTTGACTGTGTGAAGTGGTTCAGTGCCCTAAACCCCTACATTGTTCAAGGGTAAACTGTAGTTTGAAATGACCCCCTGGTGAGGACCATAATGTAGACTGTAATGTAGAAAAATGGATGATGAGCAAATTTTAGGGAGGGTAAAGGAGAAAGTGGTTTAGAAATTTGGGAAGCGTTCTTAACCATTCATAACATCATACTCAGTAGAGTCTGTAGTTAAGGTC